TCTCGCTGGGGGCCGAGGCCGCTGTGGGTGCACGACGCCCCCCTCGGACCCCCAGGTGACCCCCAGGGCGCGTCGCTACCCCAGTGCCAGTGGCCTGTCCCAAAGAGAGTGACCCAGAGTTCTGGTTTGCTTGGGCTTTTTACATTTTGAGTGCTTCAAGTCCACTGTCTGGAAAAGCTGCTTTCTCCGTTTGGAGCCCAACACCTTGGGCCCTCCTTTTCCTGATGGCAGTAGGCTGTAGGTTGTGCTGCATCCGTATGGTCCCAGGGGCATCAGAAGGAGGGACGGAGTGAGTGCACTCAGGCAAAGGGTCCAGTGGTCTGTGTGCTCCTGCCTGCCCTGCCAACTCTATTCTCACCTCCTGTGGACAGGACTCTCCCAAACCACACAAGGAGGAGCCTGTGGTTGATGTCCCTGGGAGGCTCACTCACCCAACCAGGTCTGGAAAGCCACCTTGTGCTGGGTGGGGCATAGAACTGTCCACATTCCCAGTTTAGATCCTAAATTGGTCCCCATAACCCTTTGAGTAGACTTGGGACTATTTCTCTTCCGATTGTTTCATCCACATTAAAATTTACTTCCCTTATTTCTATCCACTCACAGTCCTTGTGAGAAGGAAAAATCCTCATATTTACTAGAGAAAAAATTGGCTAAGCCTCAGATTTGGAGGTTTCCTTCTGCTCAATCATGTAGGAAAATGGCAAGATTGTCTAAAATTGTTTTCTCCAAAGCTCGTGATTCACTTTCCATGGTATATGGAATGGTGGGACCTACTCAGTTGTGCTTTGAAAGTCTACCATGTGTGTCTTCTTTTTCTTAAAAACATCTAAGAGGTTACTCAGAATCCATGTCTCTGATAAAACACTTGGTTGCCAATTTCCAAATCGGCTTTTTTGTGATCCCGGAAAGGCAATGAAGTAGCATGGTGATCTGGAAGACTACATACTGGTCCAAGTTTTGCCACTCTGAGGACTTAACCATCTGCTCAACATACAGAGGCAGAAAAGGGAGTCTTAGAGAAGGGACACAGCCAGCTGAAAGTCACACAATGAGTAAATGGCAAAGTTATGAGACATCATGGGGAGATGCAAAGTACAGCCAAGGCAAAGGGGGGCATCCAGAATTTCTCTGGGAAGAGGCATGTAGAGGTCCCAATGAGGTGCAATGAAGCGGGTCTGTGGATGTCCTGGATGTCAGGAAAGAGGGATTTAGGGACACAGACGTCGAAGTGATAGATTTCAGTATGTTCAGTTTGAAAGTTTTTGAACCCTTTTGTAATTGGAGTTAACCTTCGCTCTGGTTTTAGGGCCTCCTGGACTCTCTGCTCAAAGGACAACAAAGAATAATGTCTCCTCCATTCAAATAGAAAACCCTTGAAGCCAGTAAAAAGATCTTATTTGTTTTTATGTCCCCATTGTCTTGCATGGTAGCTAGCACAAAGGCACTGAAATTGAGGAACTGATAGATAAATGTCACTTATAAAGTGGAAGTGTAATAGAGTATGAAGTAGGCCACCTCCACAGGTGTGACCTTCTCCTGGCTTAGACCCCTAGTGTCAGGGTTACCTAGGGGGCAAATTCCTGAGCCCCACCTCTGGGGAGTCTGATCTGCTGGATCTGAGACAGACCTGGGAATTTTTTTTACAAGAGCTTCTGGTAAGTAAGTACTATTAAAAAATACATTCTGTAATATTACCTAGTACCTAAGACATAAAACACTGCCAATGAAGTTAACTTCTTTGCATATTCCTTCCCAATAGTCTTCAGCTCTCTGCCCCATAGAGGGAGGCACTGTTCTGCATTTACATTTCTTTGCATTTCCTTGTGTTCTCATGTTTTAGACTTTATATAAATGGTATCATATTCTCTGTATTCATCCATTTAGTTAACTAATCATTATGTTTGCGAGAACCGCCGTTTTGATACATGCAAGTTTGGTTCATCAATTTTCAATTCTGTATAATATTTCATTGTAGGAGTGTGTATGTGTGTGTGTGTGTATGTGTGTACAAAAATTTATTCATAAATTTCCCATTGACAGGTATTTAAGTTGTCAAATTGTTCTCCAGGTTGCTATACCAGTTTAAATCTCTATCAATTTCCACATCATCATCAACATTTATTTTTTTTAATTTAAATTCAATTAGCCAACATATAGTACATCATTAGTTTCAGATGTAGTGTTCAATGATTCATCCGTTGCATGTAACACCCAGTGCTCATCACATCATATGCCCTCCTTTTTTTTTTTTTAAAGATTTTTTTATTTATTTGCGAGAGAGAGAATGAGAGAGAGCATGAGAGGGAGGAGGGTCAGAGGGAGAAGCAGACTCCCTGCTGAGCAGGGAGCCCGATGTGGGACTCGATCCCGGGACTCCAGGATCATGACCTGAGCCGAAGGCAGTCGCTTAACCAACTGAGCCACCCAGGCGCCCCATATGCCCTCCTTTTTTAAAAAAAGATTGATTTATTTATTTATTAGAGAAATAGCTTGAGCAGGGGGAGGGGCAGAGGGAGAGGGAGAATCCTTGAGCAAACTGCCCGCTGAGCGAGGAGCCAGACACGGGCTCGATCCCAAGACCCTGAGATCATGACCTGAGCTGAAATCAAGAGTCGGCTGCTTAACGGACTGAGGCACCCAGATGCCCCCACCGACATTTAATATTATGTGGCTCAAATGTTGCCAATTCAGAGTCATGTCAATTGTTGTTTCATTGTGCTTTTATTTTGAATTTCTCTGATTATAAATGAGGTTTAATACCTTAGTTAGGGGTCCATTTCTGATTCCTTTTGTTTGAAATTCTTACTAATTTTTCCTATTTCTTTATTGGGAAGTTTCTCCTCTTTTATGCTTCATAGGAGTTCTTTATTAATCTGGAAACTTTTTTCATTTAAGTTATTTTTGCTGTGTAACCAATTACCCAAAACATACTGGCTTACAACAACTATTTTATTCTGCTCACAATTTTGTAAGTTAGGAATTGGGGGAAAGTTTGGCTGGGCAGTTCTCTCTTGAGATTTCTTATGTGGTTGAAGATGTGAGCTGGGAATTTAATGATATGAAGGCTTAACGGGGCTGGAAACCCAAGATGGCTCACTCACATGGCTGACATCGAGTCACATTTTGGGTACTCAGAGCTAATAACATTCTAATTTTTATACGCACTTGGATTACAATAGCTCCTCTGAATCACCATTCTTGGATCAATGCTGAATAACATTCCATTGTCTGGATGCACCATAGTTTATCCATTCAGCTACTGAAAGACATTTTGGTTGTTTCCAAATTTTGGCAATTATGAATAAAGCTGCTATAAACATCTGTGTGCATGTTTTTGTGTGGACATCAATTTTCAGCTCTTTTGGGTAAATACCAAGGAGCACAGCAGCTAGATCATATGGTAAGAGTATGCTTGGTTTTGTAAGATACCTGCAAACTGTCTTCCAAAGTGGCTTTACCATTTTACATTCCCACCAACAATGAATGAGAATTCCTGTTACTTCACATCCTCACCAGCATTTTGTGTTGTTAGTGCTCCAGATTTTGGCCATTCTAAGGTGGGTAGTGGTATCTTATTGCTTTAATTTGCTTTTCCCTGATGACATATGATGTGAAGCATTGTTTCATGTGCTTACTTAACATCTATATGTCTTATTTGGTAAAGTGTATTCTCAGGTCTTTTGCCCATTTTTGAATAGGGTTGTTTGTTTTCTTATTTTTGAGTTTTAAGTGTTCTTCATATATTTTGGGTAACAATCCTTTATCAGATGGGTGTTCTGCAAATATTTTCTCCCAGTCTGTGGCTTGTCTTCTCATTCTCTTGACATTGTGTTTCACAGGATTTTTTATTTTTAATGAAGTCCAGCTTATCAATTATTTCTTTTTTTATGTTATGTTAGTCACCATACAGTACATCATTAGTTTTTGATGTAGTGTTCCATGATTCATTGTTTGCATATAACAT